TTTGTTTGTTTTTTTCATTTAAACAATGGATGATTACATACAACCTGGTAATAACTGAATAAAGTAATAATTTTTTTGTGGATATATACATAAAACTTAATGTATTTTTATTATACAGGGACCTCATTAAAAGTCAGCCAACTGGAATTACATCTGGTTTTATATCTTGGATAGTATTATATTAAAGTATAATTAGCTTCTGGTTTTAATCTTCACAAAATTCATTCAGGTATTTATTTGGTATTGGCCAGCTAGGGGTATAGCAGTGAATAGATTAGAAGGTAAGGCCTGTTATAAAGAAGGTACTGAGAGTCTAGAGCAATAGTTTCCAGTGGTGATTGGTCCTCCCACACCCCACCACCACCACCAGGGATATTGGGTTATGTCTGGAAACATTTTGGGTTGTCACAACTTGGGAGGGGTGTATCTGGCATCTTGTAGGTCAGTGTGATGCCCTGGTTGCTACTGAACATCCTGTAAGGCACGAGACAGGCTCCCAAAACAAAGAATTACCTGGCCCAAAATGTCAGTAGTGCTGAGGTTGAAAAATCCTGATCTAGACTGGATTTGAAGGGTAAGAGGTTTGAAATCAAGATTTCAGAGACTGTCCATTTACTACTGGTGATGACAAAAGTCAGGCATAGGCATGTGGTTTGAATCTTGGCTTACTTTTCTGGTGTGAGAACAATAAAATAGTAATATGCCATATAGTTGCATGTCATCCAAATATATTGTTTATTCACACAACAACCTTGAGATTTAGGCAGACTATGAACAATCACTTTATTTTCAGATGAGGAAATTGAAGCTCACGGAGATAGGTCTTGGTGAAAGTCAGATATTCCATACAGGTACAACATGATTGTTAGCCAGATTTTTTGAACTCTTAATCCATTGCTCTTTCTATACCGTAATCAGAATGCTCTTGTAATTCAATCCTAGGACATAGAACCACATAACCATAATGGAAAAGGAAGTATTTGTCAATATATTATTTGCTTTGTGCTTTTCTTTTGCTGCATTTTTCAAACAGATTGATAACTGTTAGAATACTTTCTTCTGATCACAAGTCATAAGTCATCAGGATAGAAAAGTACAGTCTTACCTTTACATGCTTGTTTTTTTCACA